CAAGAAGCAAAACATCAGCCCATATTTGCACAACTAAGCACATTGTCAAACTCACACTTGTTGCAAAGCTCTACACACAGTGATTTGCAAAACACCAAACACACCTAACATACATCACACACAAAAATCTATCATGAAGTCACTTCCTTGCAATACCAAAGCATTGACTGTCAAATTACTGCACCGTCCAACCAATTGGTTCAACACAGTCATCAGGAGTGCAAACACTTGTTTGCTTACAGTAATTGTAGACACACCAATCAGGTGTGTAGGCACTATAAAAAGCAGCAGGTGAGTTCATTGGTCTTCAAGCACAATGGAAAGAGTCAGAGAAAGAGTAAGACAATGAGGAGGAGGACGAGAAGGAGGAGGAGGAAGAGGAATCAACAGAGGAAGAGGAAGAGATGGAGGCCATGCTGGAGGTAGAAGAAGAGGAAGAGGAAGACGAAGACAAGAAGTTGCTCAAAGAGGACTGAATCTGACAAATGAGATCAACGCAACACTGGTTGACCACGTTGTCAACCACGGACTGATGGGCTCGACACACGGGAGGCGACATCGCCTCTCCTCCATTCATTTTCAATGAGACGTGCGCGACAAAGCGATAATCGCGGGTCTCCCTCCGAAACGCGCAAAACGTGCATGTGAAATTTTGCGCTTGTGCACGTGTCGTGCACAGGCGACCCAGCGACGCAATCCCAGAAAGTTGAAATATTTTCAACTTTTCATTGCTGTCGCTTGGACAAGGACCAATCAATGGAGATTTCATTCACTGACCAATGAGCGGACAGGATGCTCCGTACACCTCCGAGCAAACATGAAGGAGAAGTTGATTATTATTATGTTTTATATGTAACTCTAGCAGCACCTTGTGAAACATCATACATCAACCTTAACCCATCTACCACCTATTTTACTCTGAACCGCTTAAATAACCTTAATTCCCTCCAACCTGACACAGCCAAGCAAAACAACGGAAGTTTCGATTTCGCCATGGAACAGAACGCGTAGACGGCTTTGCCGCTGGCCGTTGCGGCGGGTCGCCTCCTGTGTGTCAGGTAATAAAAGCAGCAGCAACGAATTTTGCTGATCGTGGTCGTTTGTCGCCTCCCGTGTGTCGAGCCCCTGACACTGAGGGAGGCTGGACAGCCAAATCTAAGCCGATACACAGTGGCAAGTGTAATAAGACTATTTCGGCTGGAAAACAGGTACTGTACAAATATCAGCATATGAAAAACATCTGCACGGTTTCAGTAACTGCTTTACAGTACTGTATTCTATGCAGTATCAGCACTTCTGTGACCTTGTCCTGTGAAATATGCTGTACTTTTGTTTACAGTTTTTTTTCTACATAGGATTGAGGGTCAGGAACGACAAGGGGGAAGGCCTCCTATTGTCATGGCCTGGGGTTTTCTCCTCCCACTCACTAATTGGTTTTGAGTTTTCTTTCTGCAGGTGGGCATGTCTGGAAGTGAGGAAGCTGCAGGTCATCTGCTAATCAGCCGGCCAGGGATACTTAAGCACCTGAGAGACGCCTTCACTTCGCTGGATGATTAGCTCAACTTGGGTATCACCTATCAGCCAATTCTGAGAAACTAGATTTTGAGTATTTTAGCCTTTTGAGTATTTGGTTCAAGTTTGTTAGATATGTATACCTGACCTCCTGTTTACCATCTCTGCAGACATCACACCAGTTCCACCTCTGACTGACTACAACCTGGTTCTCTTCAACTCCCTGTTCGTCTCTCAGCCCATCCCTGGTCTCCCCACTTCCTAGAGCCCACCTAAACCCTCCTGGATCTTCACAAGTCTCCTTGCTCAGCTCCCTCCACCTCAAGCCCTCAGGAACCTTGCCGCAAGTAAGCTCCCTTTCCCCAGACCGGACCATCTCCCCTCTTGAGTCATCCACACTACAAGACCGTAAGTCCTCTAAAACCCTACAATCTCTTCAGTTCCCATATACCGGACCTAAACTCCCTCTGTCTCCAGATCTCCACACCAGAATCCCGTCCGAAGAACTCAGCCTGATTTTACGCTGCTCTTTTAGTCATCCTTAGAATAAATTATTGTTTGAACTCTTACCTTTGTCTGTGGACTGATTCTGTATGTCGTGGGTTAGATTATTGCCACACAACATGACACCTATGTTCACAGAACAGCAAGAGAGGGAGATGGTAAACAGGGTTTAGGCCAACAATGCTATAACACTCAAACAGCTCCAAGCTAACATTGTCAATAACCATGCCAGCTTCATCGATTTCCATCAGGTCTCAATATCAACACTGGCACGCATCCTAAAAAAACAACATATTCAAATGAAGCTAATTTATCGAGTGCCTTTCGAGCGCAATTCCAAAAGGGTGAAACAACTGTGTCATGATTATGCAAAGGTATGTATTCACTTTAGCAGTGTGATCTTGCATACTGTCTCATAATCCTTTACTGTAATATGTATACTGCATCTACACGGAACTACTCAATTTTGCCTGACACTCTTCTTCAGGTAGTTTTATGAATGGATGGAGAGGAGATCCAGCATGAGTTCATTTACATAGATGAGACCGGGTTCAAACCTGACGAGAACACGAAGGACGGGAAGAAACGTCATTGGCCACAGGGCTATAGTCCATGTCCCAGGGCAACGTGGGGGAAATATAACACTGTGCAGCCATTACACAGAATGGGATCCTCCACCGCCATGCCCATATGGGCCCTTACAACACAGCACTCATACTTACATTCTTGGACCAATTGCACAATGTAACAGCAGCAAATCAAATCGATTGTATGCAATACATTGTTGTCTGGGACAATGTGTCTTTCCACTGCTGTGCTCTGGTTCAGAACTGGTTTCAGCAACGTCCACATTTCACCATCCTATATCTTCCGCCATACTCTCCATTCCTTAACCCTATAGAAGAGTTTTTCTCGGCATGGCGGTGGAAGGTATATGATCTCCGTCTCCAGGCTGAGGTACCCCTCATCCAAGCCATGGAGGAGCCCTGTGACCAGATGGAGGTAGCAGCAATACAAGGATGGATTCGTCATTCACAACACTTCTTTCCAAGGTGTCTTGCTAATGACAACATTGCCTGCGATGTTGATGAAATTCTCTGGCCAGATCCAGCTAGGCAAAGAGACGATGTCTAGTGTATTTTTATTTTTTGGTAACAGTAAACTTACAGTACAATACGTAAAGTGACATGTTGTTACAGTAATATGAACCTCCATGTCAACATTTTAGGCATGTTGAGAAATAAATGAGTTTCTTCAGTGTGCAACATTGGTCTTGTGTTGTTTTTGGTGGATTTGCTCTATATTTGTACTATCTTGATGGTAGCCTGCTCTAATTATAGGGAAGTAGAAGTACTAAAAACGTTTTGGGTTTATCACAGGAGAGTCTAACTCCTGCAAACAGAGTATGGTAAATGTGAAAAGTGTGTTTGTTATGGTAAAAAAGTGTGGTTTTTAAACATAAGTGTATAGTTTTTACAAGAGCGTTTAATTATGCAAAGGATCTGTGTTTTGAAAACACGGGCCCTGTTTTGAAAATTGTGCTTAAGCAATAAAAAACAACTGTAATATTATTATTAAGTTTGAAAAGTCCTGAAGAAAATAAACTCTATTTCTTTGAACAGAGGCTGTTCAGAAAATGGTCTAAAATGAGTTTTGTTCAGAACCAAACTTCAGCTCAGGCGACATTTTTCTTCTAAGTTTTGTGTAAAACAGAAGCTGCTCTGATTGGCAGCCATCAAGACAACAGTGGCAGAGGAGTTAAGTGCCCGCCCCATTACCGGAAGGTTGCAGGTTCACTCCCTGCTCGATCTTGGGCAAGACACTCTTCTTACCTGCTGGTGGTGGTTGGGGGGACTGGTGGCAACTGTGTATGACAGCCTTGCCTCTGTTGAGATGCCTCGTGATCAACTTCCGCACTTGAGAATCGGGACACCCTATACACTTGGACCCCTGGTCGGGATCACGCCATGGAAGGGCTCAAGTGTGGAAGTGTGAGTATTGGGATTGGGCCGATGACTGGCTGGGCTGTAGAGCGCCTTGGGGGGTCATAAGGCCTTGGAAGTCCATTTTAACATTTAATCGGTCAGCTTATGTTGTCCAAACAGGCCCCGCCCATCATTCTGGCAGAAAACGTTTGTTTGGATGTAAATTTCGGTTTGGTTTGTCAGCATTTAGAAAGTTAAAATGAGAAACTTTCAAATAGTTTAAAAATATTTGTTTAATAATTAAAGCAGATATTTTGGTTTCAAAGCTGCATCAAAAACTTCTGTTTACATTTTAAAAACTGTTATTTGAGCCTTATGTTCTGTTTGGGTCTGGCAGAACCGAAGCCAGGAAACTGATCCTGGTTCTGTTTGGGTCTGGCAGAACTGCAGCCAGGAAACTGATCCTGGTTCTGTTTGGGTCTGGCAGAACCAGGGTTAATGTTACAGAAACTCCCCTCCAGCCAAACAGAACCGCCTGTTTGGACCCAACTGGAAGATTTCACATGATGATGATGAGGATGAAGATAATGATGTTGCAGTCCTTCCTGATGGAGACCACACCTCTATACATCACACAGCCGTCAACACAAGCATAATAAGCCGCCTGAAAGCTGTACACACCGGAATAGAACTTCAAAATAAAGGTCCGACGAGAAGTGGTGATGCCTTTTCAACGTTTCATTAACAAACTTGCGTCACTCAAAATAAGAAGAGAACTGCTTCAGTCCCTCACAAAGTCTGAAAAACGGATCCAGATCAGTGCGCAGAGACGTAAGAAAGTCTGGCTGGTGGGAATCCAGGAGAAGACTGGGTCACATGTTCTAGACTGGACCAGGAGTATAATCAAGCACCGTGTAATATCCTATATACGTATCGGCATCTGATCCAATTTAAATTTTTCTATTGTAACCAATATGTCGATGATTGTAACAAGTCACATTCAAACGCTGGAAATGTCTTATTCTGAAAACCCTTCCGGAAGTGTCTGTGTTGATCGGGTATAGCTTCCCGGGTGTAAACTAAAGGACTGGCTCCTGTCGACGGTAGTCCCGCAGCGGTTTAACAGCTTTAAAACAACCTTGTGGTTCCGTCCACATGTCGCACACCGTCATCACGACCACAGCGAGCAGCCGGTCCTCCGGTGACGGAGTCCTGAACGCGGGCTACGCCCGAACCATCCCGGGACTTCTGAAGATAGGACAGCTGGTGAGAGAGGGGCGGGTTAGGAAGGGTGATGTCCGAGCTTCACCCCGTTGTAGGCTCGGGCTCACCGGGCAGGTTAGCTGTCCGTCCGTCACCGAATCCGGAACCACGCAGGGTTGTTGTGAGTCCGTGCAAAACTGGTCTGGGTCCAGTTAAGGACGGAGCGAGAGAAATTAGGTTCTTGGGGTCATATCATGATGGACCCCCGGGTCGCCAACAGGGCCCCCTCTGGTGTGTGTGAGCGTGTGTGTGTTGGGGGGGTCCTGGGAGGTTGTGGGTCTCCCATCTCTGGCAGCGAGTTTTTTTCCTGAATCATTTGCTTAGTTGAAGCTGATGAGTCGTAGTTGAGTGATGTTGGTCCTGTGACTGTTTTAGTCTCTAATATGTGTGTGTGTGTGTGTGTGTGTGTGTGTGTGTGTGTGTCCTCCAACAGAAGTAACAGCTGATTGCTTTTTCTCTCCCAGCTCGCCCTGTTCATCTCCTTCATGTGTGTCAGCTGTGCTAAGGGGTGGCCCAGCTGGGCGGTGTTCCAGTACTTCGCGGTGGTGGCGTTGTGGTTTTCCATCGCTTTCTTCATCTTCTTCCTCATGCATCTGTTCAGGCTGCAGGGCAAGATGCCATGCATCAACTGGCCGCTGACGGTGAGCACGTTATGGCTTTAGAAGCCACGTTTGTTTGCTGAAGCCCGTTTGGACCTCACAGATAAATAGAAACCTGTAGCTCACACCTTCAAAAGAGGGAAGGAAGTCTCCCTGTGAGGAGCTGACGAGTTAATTCTAAACTAGAGAAGCACTTTCTGAGAGGAAGCTCAGCAACAGTGAGTAAAGATCAGGATCCTTAAAATAAAAAGATTTAAAACACTTCATGTTTTTATTCTGTTTTTGTTTTCCTGGTGGGCATTCTCAGCCCTCCACATCCGGGTGTTACTCAGCCCGCAAGAACAGTTAACCAGCGCCAGAGGTGGAAAGAGTACTAAAATGTTGTACTTAAGTACAAGTATAATTACTTTCATGAAATTTTACTCAATTACAAGTAAAATTACCTGCCTCAAAATGTACTCAAGTAAAAATAAAAAGTAGCTTATTTCAAATGTAGTCAGAGTAAAAGTTACTTAGTTACTTTTTTGACTGTGCAAGGACGGGCTCTTCTGAATAGTTAAAAAAAGACAATGGGGTATAAATGTCAAAGTGGCCGTTTTTTTTATTAAATGAACAAATATGCATATTGACGTACAAAGGCAGTTACACTGCAAACTAGTAACATAAATTAGGTTATAGTCACAAGCCCATGACTTTTCCCTGAATGACCCCCCCCCCCCCTCCCCGCCGCCGCCGGCATATCCTGATAGGCCTACCCAGTCTCTCAGCCTCTCCAGTAGCAGGTGATGGTTAACAGTGTCAAAGGCTGCATTCAGGTCCAGCAGGACCAGAACAGAACAGTCCCCTGCATCACTGTGGGTCAGAAGGTCATTAGAGACCCTAAGAAGAGCTGTTTCAGTAGAATGAGCTCTACGAAAACCTGACTGGAAGCAATCATAGATGTTATGTTCATCAAGAGCAGCTGTGAGTTGTTTAGCCACAACCTTTTCCAAGATCTTGGAGATGAACGGAAGTTTAGAGATGGGTCTGAAGCTGCTATGGAGAGAGGGGTCGAGACTCCGTTTTTTAAGAAGCGGGTGGATTACAGCGTTCTTAAAGTAAGCAGGGACCTGACCAGAAACCAGAGAAGCATTAATTATAGAGAGCACGCTGGGACCGATGGACTGAAAAGCACTTTTAAACAAAGATGAGTGTAAGATGTGATGACTGTTGATTGACTTGCTCTGCCCCAGCCTCTGCCATCTGGTCAAGATGTCTTCTCATATTGATCAAACCTGTTGAATGACAAATACATAACACATATTTAATATATCTGGCAATTAAGTTTTGATAGAAGATGCAACAAGAATTGTTTTTAGTAATCCATGCCTTACAAATACTATAATTTGTGTCGACAGACTCGTATAATTGAACTTTAAGTATGTTGACAGGATTGAAATGAATAAGAAACAGATTAAGGTATAATGTTAAATTATAAAATATTACCTGCTTCAATTATATCGTGCCTCTCAGTCCAGGTGGTCTTGAACTTTGGAAGAAGGATTGCAGTCAGCTCAGGGTCTTCCATCATCTCACCAAAGTGCTTTTGGACACCATCCTGAATGGCTCTGAAGAGTGGCAGACACATCTTGGAGACAGTCTCCAGTCTGCTGAGTTTTTCTTTTAGCTGGAAGATCACTTGAGGGGCGGGACTAGGAGGCTCAAAAATGACCAATCAGAAAAAAGAAGGAAATCCCGACTGTACCACACAACGCGGTAGATTTCTAGTTGTAGTAAAAAAAAAATAGCATCTGGCAATGGCGCAAACATCTTTTATTTTTTAGAAGAAATGCTTTTAGCGCTTCTACTTGTGGTTTTAAAGACATCTGTGTCATTTAGAACAGAGGAAAGAGCCGCAGCGAACTCCGCCGCTGTCTTCGTTGTTTATGAGAAATTGAGCATCGACGTGTATGACGTGAATTAAACAGGAGGAGTCTGGCAGGCCAGGCTATCTTTCTCGTACCATTAGCGCCTATTTTCTTCTCCTACCCACCATTCATTGCACTGTAAGGTCACTGAACACATGCTTCACACTAAGAAGTTCAACTCACCTGATGACCGCTCAGACATCCCTTCATTCCTTCTCACAAGCTTTGATCTTCTTAGGTGATCCTCCAGTCATCCGAATAGTCAGTTAGTGTTTCTTATCCTTTCCTTCATACCCCGTAACACTCTTGTAACTTAAGCACTCAGTTCTTCTGGTGCGCGCCTTCAGCGTCCGCAGCACTTCCGTGTTTGGGTCTTACCAGTATAGACATACATATACATAGACACTTCATTAAGTGCTGGATCACTCTCGAGTGCGTTAAGACGCTTCTACATGTGTATATGTTTATACTCTCGTCTCTCTTCTCTGTGGTTATGTCTGAATCCAGTGCGAACCGTGCCGACAGTATTTTGCAATGTTGTTTTTTTTTTACTCGGTAACGGATAAGATAAAAAATGTAGCGAAGTACAATACTTACAAAAAACAATACTTAAGTAAAAGTAAAATTACAGATTTAAAAAACTACTTAAAAAGTATAAATACGCAAAAAAATCTACTCAATTACAGTAACGCAAGTAAATGTAATTCGTTACTTCCCACCTCTGATCAGCGCATTTATTTGTGGGTGTTTGAACTCAGTCTGAAATCACCTTTACCTTGTGCAGGTTAGTGGGCTGGGCTTTCAGCTCCACCTGGTAAAATCTTATTCACGACTGAGGAGTATTTAAGGCCATTAATGACCAGAGTTGGTCTGTAAGCAGCCTAATCTTCAGGCGAGGTGAGGAGTGTCACAGAAGAAAGATGAAGATGTTTTTCTCTCTTCCAGGAGTTCTTTCACTACTCTGTGGGAGCCGTCCTCATCTTCATCGCCTCCATCGCTGGAGCTGTGAAATGTGGAGGAGCTTCAGCGCTGGTGGTGGCGTCGGTACGTTAACGGGTTGCTGATCAGCTGGTCCAAGTCCGACATGTTGCCCTCCGTGGGTCAGCTGATCTTCAATGTGTGTGTGAGTGTGTGACAGAGAATCCGGTTTCATTCTGACTTTTCCTGCAGGTCTTTGGTTTCATTGCGACGTTCCTGATGGTCATTAACTTGTGGACGTCTTATAGCGTTGCCTGCGGCCCTCAGTCTGGTAAGTACCACGAGTCAACCCAAGACATCACATCCTAAAGGTTTTTAGATCAGATCCTGTTAAAAGTTTGCTTCCTGGGAGATTAAAATGAGCCTTTTTTCTTTTTAATATATAGTAAACATTAGTTCTGTGTTTTCTGTCATTTTACTGAATGAATCAGAATCCACACTGCAAAAATCACATTTCTAGAAGTAAAAAATCCTTGTTTATTAGTGATGGGACTTTGGAGGGAGATGTTCATTAGTCATTTACCTCAAGGAGCCGTTCAAAAGAGTCAGTCCTGTGAACACAGTGTAGCCATGACAGTGGGTGGGTGGGGTGGGGGGTGGGGGGGGGTAAGTGTTCCTCCAATGTCCATGAGAGTGCTGGGGGGCTGTTACTGGAAGTCAAGATGAACGGTTCTCTACAAGAACTCAGCTCTACTGTTCACTTTGAAAAATTGTTCAAAAGATTTGATTTGTTCGTGAATGTCGCATCACTTTTGTATATGAACGTTTTATCTTAGGATGTTCCGATCATATGATTTTCAACAGATTGGAATCGGGTGGGAAAAATGGGATTTGCCCATATAAAACAACAAACATTACTTTGTAAATTCTACCTGAGAAAGAGATTTTCCTCTACATCAGTATTCTTTGTTTCACAGACGACGCCATTAAGTCCCACAATTTAAGGTAGCTCAGGAATTCACGTAGCCTAACATGTAGCTGTTGGCTAACACAGCATATTTGTCGCCTCGAGAGAGAATTTGTCGGTAACTTGGATGTATTTTAAATCAAACAGCAAAGGGAGTGTAATAGATGCATGTAATGTGTGCAAACTGGGCATTTAACATGGTGGAAAAGGTAGTGCTTTGTTCAACATGTATCTGATTCGCCACCTTAAAAAAACTAACCCTGCTCAGTTTGTTGCAACAATTCAAATAAGCCAGCCGACACAAGTAAAATATATGTTAACTCATTCGCTGCCAGCCGTGTCCTGATCGGTAAAGCCCTTCGCTGCCAGCGTTTCTCACCGTTTTTACTGTTTTTTTAAGAGTCTCACATCGTTGCGCGCTAAGATGATGTAGACGCCAAAACAACCAAAACAAAGCGGAAACTCGCCTCTTACATCAGGAAGAATCCGCGCATTTCGAGCGTTATCCGTTCTTTCATAATCAGTTGTTGAATTGTGATCGGCAGAAGCTTTTCCGGTTCGGGCTTCACTTTTTTTTTACAGCAGCGGCCCAAAGCGATCTCCTTACACATGCTTCCTGATCACGTGATGTGTGACGTATGCAAATGAAGATCGGCTTTAGAGCTGCAATGTTTGTTCTCGCGGTGTGGGGGCTCGTTCCAATGCCCACACAGTAAAAACATGCAAATGATTATTTTAGTTATCATTGGCAGTGAACAACTGGATTTAAAATGACGACTTTAGTCGTCAATGGCAGTGAATGAGATAGTTTACGGAGAGCAAAAAAGCCAAGATAGCAGGATACGTATCACACTGGAGGATCGTCTGTGGTTGCTAACGTCAGGTTATGCAGTTTCTTGAGTATGATCTGCTATCTCTTCCTAACTTTACAGACGCAGCAGCACTACGTGTGTTTTGTAGAAAAGAGTGACTTTTCTGCTGCCCGTCATGTGCCGGGCCATCCCTATTGCTCAAAACAGCTGCACACTGAGTAGACGAGCTGCATGTTCAAGCTACAGGTGTTATGCAGGGAAAAGTTACCCTGTCTACCGAGGCTCAGCAGCATAATGAGGAAGTAAAAAACGCTGCTACTTTAAATATATTCATAATACAAAAATGTTTTTAATCGGTCTACTTCCTAAATGAGTTGTAGTGAAACTAAAAGGACATTTGGATGTGTTTTCTTCTTACTTTTCAGGAAAGCATTAAAATATCGTATCGAGACTCGGTATCGGCAAATACTCAAAATCAAATAAGTCGGAATCGGATCCGGAGCAAAAAAATTACGTGATCGGAACATCCCTAATCCAGTGTTAAGGAGGAACTAACATGAAATCAGCTGTTTCTCACCACAGCTTCACTCACATGATGTTTTTCTTTTTTTTTTTTATCACCCTCATGATGCTTTTCTATCCTCTTCATCCCCCTCCAGGGGCGTTGGAGTAAAACAGAGCGACTCATCACGAATAACCCGATGGCTGAGTTGGCGGTTTTCTGTCCTGGTCAATTTTCTGCCTGGTAACTATCCGTATCATCAACCTGATTGGACTTTAGCTCAAACTGCAGAGGTTCTGATCCAGGAGCAAACTGCCTGTAACGTAAAAATCTCAGACCATCCTGGTGACAAGCTGAACGGTCAGTGATTGATTAGTTCTGACTGAATCCTGATGCTCTGTGTCTCGCTTTATTCAGTCGCATGATGGAAGGACGCCACGGTTATGCCACCCTCACTGCTGCTTTTAAGCACAACTTGATTTTCTTCTTTGCTTTAGAGACCCCAGAGAAGGTTGGGATTGTGCCAAAAACAGGTTTTTAACTTCCTGCAGGTCAGAACGAATCTTCCGGGTCTCGTCTTCACCACGTTAGAGCTCATCTGCTTCATTTCTTTAGTTTTTGTCAAAAATGATTTTTCACTTAAAGCAGTTTGGATCACAAGCAGAATGATTAGGGAATCAAATTAAATCCTGAATATGCAGAAGAACAGCCCTCGTAGCTCGCTAAGCTAATCCGCACTCACGCTGCTAGTTTTCCTGGCATGCTAACAAACCCTACCAAAATAAACGTCTTCAGAAAAGGATTCACAATCAGATGTTGGCAAAAAAAAAAATCACTCAGGGGCTAAAAACATGTAATCTAAAAATATTATTAATAATAAAAATAAATGTTAGCTGTAACAGATGCTAACAAACAGAAATTCATTTCTTTTTTTAGAATTTTTAAAGAAAGTTTCAGTTTTTGAAGGTGAGTTTAGTTTTATTTCAGTGTTTTTTTTATTCCCTTTTTCATTCAATTCAACCAAGTTTTTCTACCTGATTATTGGCGGTGCTTTTAACTAAAACGGGTTTTAATGAAATTCATATCATTTTGTTTAAAAGCACAACAGAATTTGTTTTAAACCAAGTGCAGAAACCAACCGAAGGCAGAAGGATTCAGAAAGCTTCAGCTGTGGAATCAGCCTGCACAGATTCATGAACATGCTTAATTATTCAGTCACTCAAGGTGAAATAAATGCATGAAGTTAGATACCCCCCCGTGTCCTGTCTGGTTGTGAAGCAAACAGAATTGATGTCTGAATGCTGGTAACAAGCCTTACAGTTTTAGTCTCAGGTGGAGCATCAAAGCGTCTGCTTTTATTGTCACACCTGATACTTAAAACTTTATTGTTATTGTTTTTGAATGATATTTAATTCTGACCAGACACTGAGTCAGAGGTGAAAGAGAAAGGAAGAGACAGGGGGGGGGGGGGTCCACAAAAATAAACAATAATGAACAAGAGCCTGCTTCTAGACCTGCAGAAAGAGAGAAGAAAAAAATGGGACACAACAACAATACAACAAGATCCAGCTATCACTGCATCAACTTGATGAAGGAATGTAAAATCAACATTGTTTAACTGAACAATCACACGATAATAAATCACAGTGCATTTAGTGGCAATGACAGCCTTAAGATATGTGTTGAACGTGCCCAAGTCCATACTTATGAGAGCACCATGTGAGCACCCGTGTGTGTACATGTGCTTATTTATGTAAGGTTTCTCTATAGGAGCATCCAATAGAGAGTGAGGGGCCACAGATCTGCCCCCTAAAAATGTGCAGGAGATGGAGGGATCCAGGTCCCAGAGATTCAGGAGCTGCCCCAGAGCACAGGAACCCCAGGGATAGAGCCCTGCACGGGCCTAAAATCTGAGCCCGTGTCCGGCCCGGCCCGAGGGGGTGGAGCCCCAGCCCGACCCGGTCCGAGAAGGTTTTCAGGATTCTCTGGCCCGACCCGAGCCCGACTTTTTTTTAAACCTTTCATAATGTTTTAGCGTGATAGAATGCTCCGCATTCTAATTATCTGTGGGAAGCGTTCTGCAGTTAAAAAAAATTAAAAGAAAAGAAAAGAAAGAAAAACAGCATTCATGCAGCTTTTTTTTCTAACAGAGCGTATTTTTCGCCAAGGCACCGCACTCCACACCAGGTGTGGCAAGGGGGAGGGGAGACGAAGATTGTTTGTATTTAAAATACACAAAATAAAAAAAATAATGCTAAACTAATGCAGGAATATAAAAGCACATAAATAAAATATACTAACTAAACTAGAAAATGAATATATAAAGCTTTTAAACAAACATGCACCTCAGAGTAAAAACTTAAGAAATAATATAATTGTTAAAAAATAAAGCATGAATTTCACAGCTGAATCAAAATGCAGATTAACTGAGGCAAAATGAATAAAAATCTGAAGCGAAATAAATAAATAAAAGCATGATTTTTTATTTAGGAGATCTTTTTTATTTTTTAAGTACAAAAAAATGATCTCTGCTAAGTTGATCTTCACGTTTACGGGACATCCGACTTCTCTCACTAATCTGTGTTCTTGTTTAGTGACTGAATCTGTGTATGCTGATACCCCCACCAAGACACGCACACACATTCTCACACACACACACACACACACACACACACACACACACACACACACACACACACACACACACACACACACACACACACACACACACACACACACACACACACACACACACACACACACACACACATGCACTCCCTGCTATGTTCTATTGTTTTACTTCTTCAGACATTTGAACTAAAGTTTTTATTTTGTTTTCTTTTGTTTAACCTTTTGTCTCAGATTTGTTATTTTAAACCAATAAATAGAAAATAAAATTAAAATGAAGTTGAAATTTCTTATAAAATTTAAACAGAAATGTTTGATGCACAAACTTCTTCACAAATTCTTTTACTGCCTGTTAAAGAACTTGTTTTGTACAGAAAGGAATATTTGGGGAAAAAATCAACTACATTAAATAAGATTCGTTACTGTGATTAGTTTCCATCAGCAGAAATTTGATAATTTAGTTCATCTCAGACTAAAATGAGCTCCAGCAGGTTAATAAGTATCAGATAAAGTCAATCTGAAGGCAGATATATTTCATAAAAAAAAGTCCCATTAAAAAAACTGAGATAAATGTATTTATGAAATTATTTTACAGTTTTAACACAGAAAATAAATCAGATATGTTATTTATGTCTAAAATTTGTTTAAAGAAAATAAAGTATTCTTCATATTTTATGCTTTTATATTAAAGGTTGATTATGGAACAATTTAATAAAAATTTATATTTTTTCTAAATAAAACCTCCACAGGCATTTAGAGATGTGCAGAATTACATTTTTATTTTGACAGCACAACACTGGATTTATGTTTACATCTACCAGCCAATGGGTAGCCTAAAGCCCTTTTCAGACTGACATTCTGGAACATTTGTGGACAATTCAATCCGGTTTTTAACCGGAACTGTGTTTTCAGACACACCACTTTTGTACCGGAACTTGTCCTTTCGGCTGCGTTCACACAGCAGGGAAAAGTTCCAGATGTCTGCCGGCGGCGGAGGGGGTGGTGGGGGTGGGGGTGGGGGGTGGGGGGGGGGGGGTGGGGGGGGAGAGAGAGAATCGGACTCATGTTAAGAAGAAGAAAATATCATTTCTATAGTGCCTCTCAAGATAAAAATCACGAGGCGCTTAAGCATAATTCTGCACACACGAAGACGCATAAGAGACCTGGATGATGAAGCTCAATGGTTAAAGGAATCACTGAAACGGTGTGATGCGCTCCGTCGCGCGTCTAGACGGTACCGTAGGAGGCGAGCTGCCGTGGTTCGCCGCATGCTACAGCAGCGGGCTATCTAGCGTCCCCCGGTCCCCTCCTCCTCCCCCTCCCCCTTGTCCCGGAACTCTACCTCACCAGTCTGAAGCAGCCACCCTGTCCGTAACAAGTCCGGACCTGTTACTAGGGGCTTCGTCCGGATAAATTCCGGAACACGTTATCCGGATATTTGTATTCAGACACAAAGGTCTTACGGACAGAGTCCGGAACATTTCCGTTTTTCATGGCCTGTCTGAAGGGGGCTTAAGTCACTTCTGCACCATGGGTCCCTGGAAGAACGTAAAAATGAATGCAAGTCAACGGGGCTAAAAATGCTATTTTCTAATCTGGTTTGCTTTACGCCCTGGATCGCACATTTGTTGTACTGCAATTTAAATGAAAAGTAATGATGGGTGTTTCGACCACGCCAGTCCCATACTTTGAGATTTATTAGCTTGTAAAAGTTCGTAAACAGCATGACTACAAACTAGAAAATCGGCACGTCGCATATGTGACGTCACCCAACACATTCCCACTCCCAGCGAGTCAAAAACAAACGCTTGGTCAGCCACCCTCCGCCTAAGACCTCTGACGCCAAAAGTGCCCTTTTTCGTTACTTATGTGCAAAAAGGGTTTTTCCCTTTTCTGACTGCAGATCCCAATGCAGCGTAAAACTGACGTGATGGGATGTCCGCAGCCAGGGCACCAAACTAGCTCATTGTACCTCACCCTAACCTTATCCTCTTATTTAACCTTCCCCTCACCTTAACCATCTTGCTAGCGAACACGTTAGTGATGGGTCGGTCGCTCTAAAAGCCGGCTCTATGAAGTGAACGGCAGGAGCTGCCTCGTCATTGGTCGGGTTTGGACCGAGCCAACGCGAGGGGGAGGTTTCAACTACCAAGGTGGAGGTTAAAAGTAGAGGGTATTTGTAACCTCCCCCTCGCCAGATGGTATGTTCTAACGTTCCCCTTGGGCGGCAAATACGAATATTCACAGTCAGAATGCATGGGAAACAAACGCTTGATCACAGTGAGAGTAACGTTTAGGTAACAAGAGGGTTAAGGTTAGGGGTGAGGGGATGGTTATAAATAGTGAAACGTTAAGGTTTAGGTGTGGTTAAATGAGCTGGTTCGTTGCTGCATCAGCGGATATCTCATCACGTCAGTTTTATGCTACATTGGGATCTGCAGTCAGAAAAGGGGGAAAAAAACCCGCGTTTGTTTTTGATGCGCTGGGAGTGAGAATGTATTGCATCACCACATAATCTACTTTCCCCAAAGTAGCTGGTACTTACCAGATGACCAGATTTATGGTGGTTCTTTCCTCCTGTGGGAAGTTCACTGAACTTGCAGCCATTTTCCCTCATTTTTCTCCATGTCTGGTTTGATGCCGTCACTTTCGTGAAGCGCATTTGTAGTCCTGGATTTATTTTCGCACAAAACCTAAAATAGCGTTTCATCCTGTTCGAAAAATGTGTCTTAAAAATTCACGGACATCATACCGGTATGTGAAATCCATGGCACAAAACTGGAATTAGAAAATTGATTTTTAGCCCCATTGACTTACATTCATGTTTTCATTCTTCCGGGGACCCATGGTGCGGAAGTGACTTAGGCTCCCTATAGGGGGCACCATTGCAGGTTGCTAAACAGCCTGCTCAACACAACGAGGCTGGCACTGTGGAAAATGGTCGACTCTGCAAGTCAAGCTGCTTCTGAGAAGATGTCGAGGATCGACCATAAAACATCTAAAACCAGAATGAGTTTAGGTGAAGCCGACAACAGATATGGACCCAAATAAAAAAATTCTCAGATCAGGAGCGAACCTGGTATCCCGACAGCTGGAAACATTGTTTTATTGTTGCAACTGCCTTCACACACTAGATGTTGCTTTGGTGTTCGTGTTCCATATTCAGCCTTTAATAGAATGATTTAGTGCTTAACCCTACAGTCGTCATTAGCCATCAGCTGTGTCCTTGTTAAAGGGATAAAGTGTAGTTTATCATTTTAATTTGAAATATTGTTTTCTTTACTTCCTGTTTACCTGCAAGCTGATTGGCTGCAGAGCTGAGGAAAGTTCAGAAATTTTTGTGAACTAATGTTTATTTTCCCTGCAGTTGTTTCATCTAAAACTAACACAGAAGCATCAGAACTCAGAATCCTGGAGCTACTGCCTCGTTGTTGTCGATCAGATGCCAAAAACCAACCTGAACCAGTTAGTGAGCGACCCCCTACTGGGTCAAAGCTGGTTCAAATAAAAACAAAATGACTGTTTTACTAACCAGCTGATGGATCAGAGTCTAACTGGACGTTTTAGAATCGGTCCATGTTTCTGCCCGCGGAAAGGTTCTGCTGTGTAACTCCTGGTCCAGTTCTACTGTTCTGAGTTCTGGTTGGTGCACTGGTCTTGCACCAAGTAGACCCAGTCAGAACCAGAAACACGGGTTCTATCTAGTCACTTTAACGTGTTTATTGTAGAACTTTAAGTATCAGATCAGAAACGGCTCCCTCACAGGCTACAACACGGATGTACCCATGCACCTGTTTGCTGTACACCTTATCTACTCTCAGAAGACGTCCTTTCAGACTCTGATCAGGTTGCTACGTCTCCAGAACAACCAGAATCGGGTCATTTTACGGGTTTATTTTGGGTTTTGAAATGTTTTCATCATGTTCTCTCTGAGGTGAGGCCAGCTGTTTGGATTTATTCCTCAGAATCCCGATCATCTGGTTCTGATCCAGAACTGGGATAGAAGAATTCTGGTCCAGAAGCAAAGTCTAATATCCTGATGAATTAAGACCACAGGTCAGTGCAACATCTGGATGTTTCAACACAGATTAGATTAAAATTCAAGTAGATTTAACAAACTAAAACTTCAGATGAAGTTGAGATAAACGTCTCTGTTCCGCCTTAAGAGGTCCTGAACCAAAACTGGATTAATCAGTTTCTGGGGTATTTTTTTCAGGCTCTAGCCTGAAGTCTATTAAACCAACAAAACCGGGCCAGGTGAGAAGACCTGATTCTCTTTCCTCTGAACAGAACAACCAACCTTTTCAACAAAGTTAAAATTCTCATCCTATACTAAGGTCTGATATGTGGCACATTTGGTTCTGTCACAGTTTTGGATCAATTCTGGTTGAATCCCAACACAAAGAGCTCTGATGTTGATGTTCTCACCTAAAACCAGGTTACCGGAACACTGAGGGTTTAGATCATTAGATTGTTCTCCAAAGTGCCTTAATGTTCTGCTGGTGTTGATAGGTCACATGGTTCTGAGGAGAACAGGCTACAATTCCTGAATCAGTTATAGTGGTGCTGCTTAGGTGGAGGAACAAAGAGGTCCAGTTGTATTTCACATCACAGAGATCACATCTTTTTATCACCTTGTAGTTTGTTGCATCTTGTAAATTAAAGGCTCATTGCACCATTTTTGTCTCTGGTGTTTTATTTAAAGAAAACAGAACAAATTAGAACAGACCCAAAGCATGATCCCTGTGGAGCGCCTTAGGTGCATCTCATGATGAATTTTCACAATCTGATTATTGATATTTACAAAAAGCTTCTCGGATGGGAGCTCAGGTGCAGTTTACCAGGGTAAATAAAATTTTGCCTAATTTAGAGAAGTAAATAATTTACATGTTTTCATTTATGAGACTTTTCTGGCTACAAAACTAGAATGAACAGCTTAATATGTGTAATATGGAAGAGGATTAGGGTCACTGAAAAGAAGAGAGAATTCTGACTTTTTTCTCAGATTTTTTTTTTCAGAGGATTGTTAAAACCAGAATTCTGACTAAAAAAATGTCACACCAACTCAGGCTCCTTCCCCACCAGAGAGGTGACATTCCATGTGCCAAGAGCCAGCTTCTGTAGCCAAGGATCAGACTGCCATGGTCCCCGCCCTCGACTACCACCTGTCACACACTGCTCCTGACCCCTTTGGCACCTCACACCAGTGGTGAGCCCATGGGAAGGGGTGCCCACATTTCCTCTTCAGGCTGTGCCCAGCTGGGCTCCATGGGTGAAAGCCCGGCCACTAGACGCTCGCCAACGTGCCCCACCTCCAGGCCTGGCTTCAGAGGGGGGCCCCGGTGACCCGTGTCCGGGCGAGGGAACACGGTTTCCATTTGTATTATTCATCATAAGAGGAAAAAAATGATCTGAAAATGTAATTTTTTTCTTATTTAGGGAAACAATTTATTTAGTTTTATTATTTAAGTTGTTTAATAACCAGTTGGTAAATATTAGTTGTTTTGTATGAGTCGTGTTTCAGATATAACTACAGATAAAACGAGTTAATTGGAACAGAACAGACTTAACCGATTGTTTGGGTTTTCTATCGAGGAACAGTTGAAGTTCTACAGAAAACCACCAGATGACAGCATAGATCCACATTAAACCGACCAGAATCAGAACTGAACTGAACCACAGAAACGGATGCTTGTATTGTTTTATCATTTAAAACAAGACAACTTGTTTTATTTCTGCATGAATGATGTTTAAATCATAAACATGTTTTACATTTTTATTTTCTGCTGAAAGTGCTGACCTGAAACCCTTTGAGACCTCATGGATCTGGATCCTCTTAGCCCTAGACTGTTGTCCTGATGAGCCAAAAGATTTCCCGTTCAAGTTCATTAGAATTCAAATGAACAGTTGGGACAATTCCACAGCAATCATTTATTTTTCTTCTCCAAATTAGCATATTCACAGATTGTCAATCAGAAAATGTATGTCATGTTC